GACGACACTTCGACACCCTTATCCTGCAGCAGTCCTACGTCATTATATGTTTGTTCGTTTTTGATCCCGTCACAAAGCACTATATTATATATATTATGAAGGTACCTACGTATAATATTATGTATACGCGCGAGAGGAAATGCCCGTGGCGAAATTTCACGAACTGTAACGGACTATATTATGTTGCATACGATTATACGGTTAATATTATAAAAAAAAAAATTACAACAACAACAGCAAGTCAGCAACAACACTATGCATTTATTTAGGTACCTATTGTGTTAGTATGCGACATAATAAATTATACTGTAGGTACATACATTATGCAGCCGAATTCGTATATTGAACGATTATGATGTCGGGGAGTCCCATCATAAGAACAATATCGATCGAGAATCGCCTATTTCGGTTTCTTTCGACATCATATCAATGCGTCGTTGTGTCGATGTTCACATTTACAGCTGATATTGACCGATATTGTATACATAATATTAGAGTGGTCCTAAACGCACATTTGACACGCATTCATCCGATCTATGTAACTATATTATGTAGCCATGTATAGGACGATTCGTATAAATTATCAAACGTATATTAAACCGTATCATATGATTTCAACTTTCAAGCTACAATGTATATAATGCATCAATATCTCATACGCACGACGATAAGTGCCCAATAACAATAACAATAAATAAAACTCAACACACTATACATCAGACTCCGGTATAAATGTGTTTAATGTTCACTTGAATTTTTTTTTATTTTTATCAATTATATTATAATATACCTAATACATTAATACAATATAAACCGTGTCGATGAAAAACTGTAATCTATAGTCTGTATGCGCAGTGTTATTTACGCGGTACACACACGTTTTTTTTAAGGTCCCGTGACCATTTTTCTTTAAATCGTCGAGGCGAATAAAAGCAATAAAACAAAAATAAAAATACTCTCTCTCGATATAATGTACGTTAATTTGTTTTTCTTGTTTTAGTTTCGATACAATAAGTGTAATCGTATAATACCTAATTCAGTAATACCTATACCACAAACTCCCACAGTCAGCACATGACGTACATTAATACGAATTATACCCTACTGGTTAAATACGTGTAATGAGTATACATATCGGGTTAAGTTTGTCGTAACTAGGGGTGGCGTTTGGTGAGAGGGATTACTTCCAAAATATCGAAAATTATGTTTTGTTTTATTTATTATTATATTATTATTGTTAAATATTATGACTGTTTTACCGAATGATGTATATTATGGTTGAAACAGTAGGCGCCTACCTCACTATAAAATTTTTTAACAGGTTATAACTAATATTATTATGTTGATGATATGTTAATGATTATACCTATACGAATAACCAGTGTAAATCTATATAAATGTAATATTATATAATAAAAGTAATTGTAAAAAGAGTCGAAGAGTTATAATTTTTTAAGAGTTGCTATTTTTTACGGTCAACGAAGTGTGCGGGATCAGCTAGCTATAATAAAAATAATTCATATATTTCATAATGAGTAAGTAAATAAAACTATGTTTTTATTAGCTATATATTCTATAAATTTCTATAACGAGTATATTATACTCGCTACTCTCGTATGTATGCACCGTAATTTTTTGCTCCTTTTATTATTTTATAATTTTTAGTTTTTACCATAATATATAAAGATATATAACGCAGTTGTGCTTTTATGTTTTATTTTACATCATTAAAATCAACTAGTTCTGCTCTATTGAAAATCGTTAATCAACCGCCCTCTACCTCCACTTTAAAAAGGTTGCTACCATTCAGAAAATAACACGGGTGTCTACTAATTATCCACTAGTTATTATTTATTCGTAATAATTAATAACTAATGGTCACAAGTAGTTCGATAAAATGAATCAAGCAACCCGCGGCGTCACTCCAATTAAAATTATCAACAAGCAAACAGTCCAATGAGTCATTAATTCTAATTCTCAAACAAATTCTGGATATCGATATTATGTTTGTTAAGGAATAGACTGAGGTTAAATCACCAAACTGACTTCAACGAAATAATTCAATTCATCGACGTAGAATCTCCATGTAGAGCTAACAATTTAAAATATATCGATATGCTAAACTACTAAGGTATGAACTATATGATGTACAAGAAAATAACATGGAACAAGTTACCAATAATTATTATTTATTTTAAATAACCACTGCATAAAAATCTTAATTAAATCTTAATTAAATCTTAATTAAAAAAATTCAAAACTTCCTATTTCAGTTTTTGCAAAAGTATTATAAAACAAATTAACAAAATTAGAACTAAAACCGAATTTTCTTGTAAAAGTTATCGGGATGTAAAATTGAATCTGCCTAAATCAGACTCATTTCTGACTATTATAAAATTCCTTAAGGGAGGAAATATAGATCTGGGAAACAATATAACATCGTCATTCGTAATTTATATCATACAACACCGATATATTCGATAGAAGTAAAATTACTCCAAAATATATTTTAGGCTAGAAACATTACCTACCAACGTTTTACATAACCCATTTCAGCTGCCTCTATTCTTTTTTTGTACCTCTAGCCTTCATTAAATAAAAATTACATCTAAAAATTAAAATCACTTTGTTGAAACAACAAAAAAAATTGAGCCCTTAAAATTAAAGAACTAACCCAGTGCATGATTACGGACATGGATATTATATGAATTATGAATATAAGACATACTATATTATATACATTACACTGTAATACCTAACAAGCTATGTTGTGTACGCTGTGGCTATTCCACACTTATGTTTTTTTATCCTAAAGATCGTGAGCTACCAGCAAAGTGCACTCTGCTTGGAAACCACTCATCAGATTACAAAGAATATCAAGTGCTGGGTCTTCAAAAAATGTAACCCCGGAAAAACCAATTTCTTAAACAGAAAAAAACCACCCCAAAATACAATGAAGCCTCAAATATATTATACAAGTTTATGAACAGTTTTAGAAACAAACCAAAACCTTATGTAAAATAACATAACGTTTTGGAAGATTATGTGTATCGTTTACTCGTTGTGGTGTCCACTGCACTATGTTAAATTATTCTTGAAAAAAAAAAAAACAATTTGTACCTAATTTACATACCTACCTAAAATGTCTAAAATCGGGATTCAGTTAATGTAATAGTTATATAAATTTAGCACCCACGTAAAATCATCTCTAAATGAAACGTATATGGTTTCTAAAACTCATAATTTATTTTCGGACGATTTTCCAAGTTTATAAAATTATTATCGTTTAGCCGCCACGGAGTACTCATTACGTATACGCGTTTCTCACTCGGCGAGTTCGACAGTAATAATTTAACACGTGCCGAACCCGTTCCGATAAAAATCACATTAGAGGGACTATACTGCAGTGACCACCACCCCTTCATATCGTTTCCGGTGTCGTCAGCTAGACGTTCATCTAACAAACAATATGCGCAATGTATTTTATAAATATTAAACATACACTGCGATGTAATGAAGGCACGTCGGTTGTACCGGTTATTTGCACGATCCTCAGATTCGCGCGCGGTATCGCTCGCGGTATACATTATAATATTGTTAAAATTTATTATATTTACGATACTATAATAATAATATGTGTCTCGGTCACCAGCTATCTGGTCGCGAACGGCCTCCCGCCTCGGATGACTCACTATATTAGTATTATATACATATAGCCGTACCTAATGGAACATCGGAAATCGCCGATATGTAAGTTGGTCGATGCTATATTTGTACCTCCACCTCAAGCAGCAGCAGCAGCAGTCGATTCGGCGGGTCGCGCGTAATAATATTCTCGTACAGCTCGTGAATAATAATAATAATAAAACCACTCCAATGCCGTCCAAGGACGGAAGACCTTTAAATCAAAACGTCACATAAATATACGGATTTACATGTTAAGAGGAGAAAAAACGGCAAAACTATATACGCCTGGTCCAGTCTTGCGGCGGCGGTGGGGAGCATCGAGATGAGTCTCTTGGAATGTCGTACCTACGCACAATACTGGTGATTAATTGTCTACTTGGCGACCTAATGGATTTTATTAATTGCCGCCTCTCCACCCGCCATCACAGCACCGCTACAAAACACGCGCCCACCGCACGCTGTAGTTGCCGCCGATATATTTGTTCCCACCATATAATAATATTATTATACTAATTAGTATTAGCCAATACACTTAGGAATAATATATTATACTTTCCCATATTATAATATATATATATATATATATATGATATACAACTAATATAATATAATGCTATTGTCGTTTATATCATATACATAATATATATATATATATATATATAGTGGCGATGATGGAGATGGTGGAGGTGGTGGTGGTGTCAAACAGGTTCCCGAAACACAACACTGTAATAATATAATATCCTATATAGGCGTAGGTACTCTATCCGTATCACTTTATGCATTAAAATATTAGGTATATAGTATATTATAATATAGTATATTAGTATATACCATGCAGATAAATACCTATATACATTTAATTGAACAGAAATAATACACATAAAAACCGTTCAGACTCCATTATTGTTGGAAGTCGCGGCGTGTGGCCGAGAACGGACGCGTATAATTATTTTATATATTAGACACCGATACAATATCATCAGTCATCACGTTGATCCTTCATAATAGTAATAATTGTAATCTGAACCCCAAACGATAGCGTTTTGTGTTTTCCCGTTTTACTACTACAGCACTATTATAGTTACTATATACTACCATATAGGTATGACTGGTATGAGCCACGAGATTACTACAACTATGAGCTTTTTTTTATAGTATTTTAATATGTACACGGGACCCGTTTCCGTCGATAACATCGGCGTTGTCGTCCATCGAGTTCCTAATTTCCGTCATGTAATAATTTGTTATTTTTATTTCAGGCGTAATTAGTGTATTTTAAATTATAATCTCATCCGGCTAGCCCAGGTACTCACCCAACTCGCGAATAGACGGTAATTGCTGCCAACAAGTAATCAAACTGCATGAACCGGAAACGCCGTGGCATTTGCAAGTGACTCTGGACTTCTTCAGCACTGCCTGTACAAAACAAAGTTGACACCACAAACATTAACAACAAACAAAAATAAACATTGATAACACGATAATGGGTCATCTGGACCAGGGATATTTGGTACCTACTGAGACTAAATAATGAGTTGTTCTCTAAAATTGCTTAGCTACTTTAAATATCATTTTAGATCGTCTACATTTCTATAAAATTCATGTATTCGATAAAATCTATATTTTCATCATAATAAAGAAAATATCTCGATTGCTCCAAAAAATGATTGTTTAAACAAAATAGTGTATTATTTAATATAAAATCAAATAAGGCGTATTTATTAAGTGTTAGTGATCGAGTACATGGATAGCTATACCACTTGAATGACGTCAAAATGTATATTATGAAGATTATAATACGTCTATAATGTCTATACACTGCAACGTTTTAGGGTATATTCAAGGTAGGTATCATTTTACTATATATATGCACGAGCAATAACAAATTATCTTACACATGCTTGTCAATTTTTTGTAGATAGAATAAATTAAATAATGTAATAGCAAAAAAACCCAACGACATTTAAGCATATCGATGCATCATCTTTTTTTTAAATTGTTGAACTAAGCTTATTATAACGTACAAACAAGAAATATCAATCTAATAAAATATGCGAAATTGCGAATTAGTTTTTGTTCGATATGTATATAATACAAATTAAAGTCCGTGGTATACTGCACAATATGCTTTATACCTATATGTGTAGCTGTGCAATTAAGCGGATATAATTATCTGAAAACCCATTCATAGAAACACTGCAGGACAGCTCCAGCATCGCGTGTTTTAAATAATATTAAATTGTATTCTCGAATAAATTTATAAATAATTAAATTTCGTACGTATGTTTCACGAACTAACATTATCTATTAAAAAACCAAATTTAACTAGAATAGATTGATTATAATATGTGTTCAGTGACACGAAAACCTAACCAGTTTTTAAGTTTTGATTACAAACAGTATTTATTTTATGTTATTTTTTTTTTCAAATCCACTTCATGCATGACCTCAACCGTACGTACAAGCCAATGACCACAGATTTCGTCCGTATAAACACGTATGGAAAGTACCAATATTAAAAAGACAAATTGGTTAAAAATGATTAGACATAATATACACCGCACACGTAATAATAGCTTACCAGCTACCGCGGGATCTTTTTGAAAATTACCGCATGGCATGCATTTAGTGTGGTAGCAATCTTACGGGGCCCTACCCAGTACACATGAGACTGTATACTTAGGTAATAATAAATCATAATAATATGCAATAATATACGCGACCGATATTCCTGCCCACTTTGCCTTGCTCGCGTTTAATGATACTAGATACAGATGCGACGTATATTACTAATTATAATACAAGATGAACTTCTCACCCTTCTTCCAGCCTCGTTGTTGTGCAGGTTCATCAAGTTTCGACCTTGTTCCGGAGATCCCTTTTTCCACCGTTTCTCTTTTTCCTTAACGTCCAAAAACACTTTAGTGAACCTAAATACAACAAATATAACAAATATTAGCAATAATAAACATATTCACCATAGTTTGATACTTGATACACTAGCGTTAAAATCACTAAGCATATTATGTACCCATCAGTAACCAGTTTTTCGTTTTAAACTTTAAACTGATATCCATTCACAAGTGTATTACAATTTAAGACACCCATAATACGAAGTGATCATATATTATAATTTCGTGTAGGTACGTAGATAATATTTTCTAAAATATATTCTATCTTTGTCTATCTATTAAGTTAACATATCGGCATTTAACACTTTCGATGAAATCAATATACTACACTTACTACCTACTAATAGGTAGGTACAAACGTATTTTTCTTATATATAAATCATATTTTTTTTCTTTATCCAATTATTTCAAGTCCGGTTTCATTATTCATGATATGAAATGTCATAAATAATTATTCAATATTTTGTAATGTATTATTTATACGATCCTTCGAATTTTTAAATTCAATAATATTTCTTGGTTAAAAATTATGTATGATTTACCTATCTAACATTTTCAAATTCGTAAGTTAAATGGTTTTTTTTTAGGATTCAAAAGGTATATTGGTTTTCTTGTATTTACATCGTTTATGAGTTATGGGTTTAGTAACAAACGATAAAGTATAATAAGTTAAAGTAAAATAACTAATCAAAACTGCAGTCGATTATAGATACTACTTACCCAAACGAAAAAAAAGAACTTGCTTACGCGTAATTTATCACGTTTCTAAATAACACGGTTAGATAACCTACATATTATTTGTGATTTAATAATATTAGACTGTGCGGAAACTTCACAGTTATCTAATGAATTTTTTCCCCGACATTGTGCATTGTCGGGCAGTAACTTTTATTCTGTCCAATATAGGTATGTATACACAAGAATACAAGGTTACACACACACACACACATATATATATATGATATACACACATATATATATACATTATACATAGTGCATACGCACGTCACATATATTATAAATGGTTAATAAATATTGTTAATCGTTTTCACACAACACTTATAACTTATAAGTAGTGTAATATTCTCATCGAGCGTTACAGATACCAAATTATGGATGGCGATAATTAATCGCGGCATGCGGACCCAAACACTTTGTAGCTATATAATTATTAAGTACACAAGTTACGAGTCCCGTCTATGTAATTCTTGGCCTGGCCACAGATATGATATAATGACTTATTGACAACTATAATTTTGATTTAGGATTTATATGTTACGCCCGTTTATAACACTAAAAAACGTAGTTCACCATTCCAACGCGGACGTGAGTATTCCCAACGTCTGAGTTTCATAATTATCATAAGATAGGGCAAAAAAATTAAAAAAAAATTACTGTAGCGTATTTTTATATCTATATGTAGACGAGCACTCATTATATAAAATAAATGGATTGTACTTATAATAATATGAATTTGGGGGCTTTTTTTTTTAACGCTTATTATTACTCGAAATAACCACGTCTGGACCACGCGGTGGTTAATCATTGCGGGGTAAGAGGTGATTAGTATTATAAGATGTATTACACACATAATATGCTTATTATTCCGGAAGCTAATCGAGCCGATACGTCAGATTCTCACCGCGCACTATATACGGGGCACAATTTAACTGCAGCAGGAGGTAGTCGCCGCAAGTCCTCAGCATCAGTCGCAACACCAGCGATGCAGGTATAATATTATAATTATTATTATATTAAAAATTACCACAGGAATAAAAATCACCTACACGCATGTATATATTATAACATAACACCGATGGGTGTAGATGAGCCGTGGCCGCGATGGGACCTGTCCGTTTAATTGGTTTTAGACAACCCGCCCGAAAATTATATTGTAATTACGAGGGTAATCGCCTCCACTACCAGTTATCGTATAAGTACTATACATTAGTCGGTGCCCCCATTAAGAAGCAATAGATCGGTCGTGCGTATATTATAGGTACGCGGTGAAAACAATGGGCTCTCGCGGTCACAGTACACACCGTAGGAATTTTAATATTACGTGTGCTCCGAGGGAACCTATATTTATTTTAACAGCTTCTAGACCGCTATAAATCCATGACTCAATAATAATAAAAATAATAAAAATAACAACAACAACAGTATATTATACTATAATGTAGGTATGGACTATAAGAGGTGGTAGGTATATACAATATGTCGCAAAGCGGTAGGTAACAATAATAATATTAATTATTAATATATTATATGAAGCCCGACGACGTAGGTACTATGGTCTATATCGGCTGCAGTTCTCATGTAATTTTTTATTATTATTATTATTAACATTGGACATATATATAACGCCGTTCGAATGTGGTGGTTTGTGTGGGAAAGCAGGCATTGTGAACACTGTCCGGTTGCTGGTATTCTGTTAGAATTTGTTCAAAGGGTAGGTAATATTAGTATATTACAATCAAAATATAATATTTCGAAGCAGAATCACTGTATAATGGATGATATTAAATTTGAATTCAACGATATAATATCATTGTATAAGAAAAACGATTCTGAGCGGAGACAGTATGTCAGTCTAGGTATAAGACATATTATATACATTATACATATCTATGGTACTAAACCAAAATTTGACCTATAATAGGTAGGTACCTATAATAAATTCCAAAATTAATCATATCAAAATATCCATTAGGTACTTATAACGCGTTATACATCAACAAAAACCGTGATACTATCATAGATATATAATAGTACACTTTAGAAGTTTCAAGTACCCACGAATAATATTATTCAATCACAACAAAATAACTAAAATAGTTTTTCTAGGTTTTTTAATATGTAATTTCGTTCAAATTTGAATTTAAAATGTCTGTAAAAAAAAACTGTGTTCATATATTTTTTAGATTTTTTGGTTACAGTATGAACTATTTACGAGAACCTTTGTATTGAATTTGCAATCCTTAGCTAGAAAAACTGAACATTTTATAATTTATTAATTACAATGATTGATAATTTTCGAGATTTTGATAAATTTTGTCAAAATTTGATCTTTAAATGCTTATAAAAAAAAACTGTGCCTATGTATTTTTAATATTTTTCAACTGATATTGTAACAATATATCAGGAGCCTTGTATTAAATTTTTACACTTTTTGGCCCAACAGATAAAACTTTATTGATATTTATAGAAAAAAAAACTAAAAAAAATTGAAAGCTGTAAATGTCCATAAACAGCTCAAAAAGAGTCAAAATATTTTCAAAATTGTATGGTGTATAGGAAATGATAATATAAACATTCAGTGAAATTTTCATGTATCTACAGTTATTCGTTTTTGAATTACAACAAAATAAGGAAATCGCTACATGAGAAATCGAGTGAACATCCAATGTTGTAAAAATTTGAATTTCAAACGCTCATAAAAATTTAATTTGACATTCCGGTAGAGATTTTTTTCTTCAAAAATTGTGACTAAGGATTTTTAATATTTTTCATCTGCCTTTGAAACAACATATTAGGAGCCTTCTATTAAATTTTCAAGCTTTCGCAACCAACAAATAAAATTTTATTGATATTTCTAGAAAAAAAACTAAAAAAAAATGAAAAATGAAAATGTCCCTAAACAGTTCAAAATAAAACATTTTGAAAATGTTATCATGTATATAAAATGCTAATATAAACATTCAGTCAAAATTTCATTACCTACTGTCATTTGTTTAAGAGTTGCACCAAAAACCAAATTCGATTTTTTGGAAAATCGATTTTGCGTAAAAATTCCCGTTTTTCCTTAATTTTTATGTTGTTTTTCCCGGCGCTTGTGAAAACTACTGGAAAATGTTTACTTTTGATCCCCTAAAGTACCAACTAGATTCACTTTCCTATCAGAAAAGGTACTATTGAAGAAAATCGAAGCACTTTTACTGTCCCAAAACGTGATGACAGACACAAAAATATAAAAATATAAAAATATAAAAATATAAAAACACACATCATTGTAAAACCAATACATTCATCGCTCCGCTCAGAATCTAAAATGTTTGCATTTAATTTGTATTTCATTGGCAGTATTCAAAACATTTTGAAATTTTTGAATTTTGAATAACATTACTAAGAGCTCTATAACAAGTAATACCTATTTAATATTTTTAATTTTTCTAAATTCACCATACAATTTTACTACAATATATTTTAAAAGATTATTATTTGTTATTAACATATATTTAGGCTGTTGATAAAATTGAATGGATTCATTTTTATACTGATTTATTTTCCGCAGTTTGTAATGGTAAATAGTTTTTTAATTTATTTATTTTAACCTTCCTCACACTAATAAATACTACAGCCTACAGGGATGATTGTAGTGCATCATCCCATAAAAATTGCATACCCTTATTTTATATTAGGTATAATACAATCATATACCTACCAATATATGAAATCGGTTGGCCAAGAATACCACCAGTGGGTACTATAGGCTGATATTAATTATATAGTTTTGTATTTTTTTCCAAAAATGTATTCATAAAAACGCGTTATTTATTATTCTGTAATATTCTTATATGCGTATTGTAAAATATATAATATGTATTACATTTGGCTAAATAATATACATTCAAACAATTCAAATGCGCAATTGGTGAACGAGCACAAGTTGCAGATAAACCATTAATAATTTATTTTCTATTTTTAATAAATTTTTTATTGCACTTACACCGAAAACTCAAACCAGTTTCACGTGACGAACAAAAAATGTTCATGCACGTCGAGTAAAGTAGTTTTTTCGGCTATCTCATCGGAAATGTTTACCTGGTTATTTATATTTTCAGAAACGGGAACAGTGAAAAAACACAACTATAAAGTGTTTCGTACCTACGTTGAAAAATGTTTTTTTATGACCTCCTGTCTGCGTTATCGCTTTACACATTTTGGTGGGCAACAATTTTTCGGGTAATCGAACGAATTTTTTTTTGTCTTTTTATACGAACATGAAAAAATAAATTTATAAAAAGTAAGTAGGTAGGTGTTATAACTTCTGAATATATACATACTTGCTTTACATTATAATAAAAGTAATAAATTATAAGGCATTGACATTTTACATCATTATTTACTTTTAATTTGTTAATGCTTACCTACACAATTTAAAAATCTAAATCTATTAGGAAATATAATAAATTATATGAACAATCATTTCACAACATTAGATATTTTAATTATTTATTTATAATTTTGAAGTAATATTCTGCATCTGTCATGTAATAACAATATAAAATATAATTAGTGGTAAAATAATGAAGCATAACTAGTAATATTTATTGATTTAGTATCATAATTTTCATATGGTCGATTATTGAGTTTCATATAATCACACATTCACACGTGATACATACATTAAACTAATTAATGATTGAAGTAATTTGTTAAATCGAAACCAAATACCAGTATAGGCTTATAGGATACTCGCAAGAAAACGTAATGTACATTAAAATGCATAATACATTTACATATGAATATTTTGATGTAAATATTATATTTTAATCAAATAATCATTATAATATAAGGTAGGTTTAATGTTAATATAAATTTTAAAATAAAAGTGATAAATTAACAGTTGATCATTATTAATTATTATATTTGAACTAATTGTCCTGAAATCCATTTGAAAAATATCAAAGGTAAAATAATTTTTCATCCATCAAAAAAATTCGATAAGGATCATATATTTTCGAAAATAGGAAGAAATTCCACGTCACTGAACATTTCATACAACTATATAAGGAACAACAATGGCATAAGTATTTCTATATGTATGTATGTACAATATAAACGAGAACGGGAGTTTACAACTGTCATCTAATGGTGGTCTAAGAGTTTAGAATTGTAATGACTTTCATAGGCTGCCAATCTGTCATTAAAAAATGTGCCCGATTGATCTCTGATGGATCGCATTTCATTGTTTTTATTTCCCGTTTTAGTCAATTTTTACTGTATGCGATTCAGTCGAAGCCAATATTGCTTTACGTAAGATATATAATATATACAGATATTTTTCATAATATTATATCAAATGGGTTTAACGAAAACGAGTTCAAGCAACTTTGCTGACATTAAAGTTTAAATAATTTTTCTTATTTTGTTATAGTGTAATTGTTAACATGCATTATTGATATAAATGTAAGACTCAACATTTAACTTAAATCTGAGAAAACAATATTGTGTGGAAGTTTTTTTTTAATTTTTAATGGCATAATCGCCACTCGAGCATACTTTGGTAGTTTCTATTTTTATGGTATTAAGTTAATTTTTATATTAATATTTGATACAACCATAAGAAATTGCTGCATATAACCCGCGGCCAGTGGAACAAATAAGTTTAAAAGTTAATATTGCATTAATAATCCAACAGTTTTGAAGTTTTTACTTTACCGTGCCAGTTAATTAAAATAAAGGGTAGGTACTTATTTATTTTTACAACTACCTACCTATAGTAAAAAAACTATTATCAAATATAATATCAAAAACACACTTACTTGTATCCGTATTCCATGTTATCTCCACAACCGCCCCAAACCCAATCCCTTCTCAAATCCTTTGGTCTTCCCGATCTCGAGCAACTGCACGTGTTTAAACGACCGTCTCTGCAGGCACGGGCCATGGCGTGCGCAACGCCGGCTGCTTTGATCGCCTGCACGAATGCTGCCTCCCGGCTGCCTGTAACCGACATAAACACAAATATTAAACTCTACCCCCAAATAACTGTTTCAGCGCGTTAAATCATAAATACACACTAATAAGTGTATATCAAAATAATACTTTTGTACCAGATAATAAGTACGGTAAGTTATACTTCACCGTCAGCTACGGTGCGGTGGCCAGGAAACGAAATTGATACGTATATAAGTATCTGCAAGTATACCAATATATTTTGTATAGAATATACTGGTTTTATGTCCATGGTTATTTTGAATTTGATTGTATGTGTAAATGTGTTATATTTATATATTCAAAGACTATAAATGGTTTTTATTTGTTTTTAAGTGCTTTTACTTAAAATATATAATATGTATAATATTGTAGCTTGACAAATATTGCAATACAAAACAGAGAACAGATGAAAAAATAATTAAATAATTATAATGAAAGAGAATCAACAATTTAAATTAGGATGCCAGCCTTGGTGATAAAATATAATATTATAGCACAGATTAATTAATAACGTGTGTGTGCCATATTTGTATTTTATTAAGAAAAATATTAATTTTAACTCAATCAACGTTAAAAATGTACGTAATATAGGCAGTGGTAAAAATGTTATATGGTAATTAAATAACGTCGATTACGTTACATAGGTACTTAGAAATAGGTACTATAAAACATTAAATAAAATACTAACTATAATATAAATCATTCACAAATGATTAATTTAAAATAAAGTTTGACCATATAGGTAGGTAAATATATTTTACTCGGTAAAATTAATATATTTATTTATCTATTGATTAAAACAAAAAGTTGTTTAGTATTCAAATCGCATATTCAATCAATTTTGTGGGTTATACAAAATATTTAGGAGGTTGTCCACTTGGCCCACGGGACGTTTTGAAGATTGTTTAATTATTTTTGATTGTTAATTTAAAACATCAAAATACTATACATAATTCAAATCTTATCAAACCGATAACCCATATAATATATACCAGTTTATTGGGTACCTATATTTAGTAGTTATATGTTGATTATTTGTAAATACCATATTACCATATAGTTTTATACTCAGTAAATTTTTGAAATTTGAATACATTTCGACGAGTAAACATATACAATTTATACGTGGGTATTCTCGAAGTATTGATTTCGTAATAAAATATGTATCTACTTGATTTAATTATTTTATGACCGTCTCGCTGCTTGTATCAATGCTTCCAATGTAGCAGGAGGACTTGCCTTTACATGAATCTCCAAAGTTTTTAGGGCATCCACTTGGCCATGGAACGTACTTAATCAAAGCTAGTATACAATCACGGAGAGCAAACACGAGAACAATATTGGTCAAAAAAACTTGCAAAAGAAAAAATTTAGTGTTACTTTGGTCCAACATTATGGAGACATTATCTATAATTTCACGAGACCACTAGATATTTTATAATGTGTGTTTTGAGATTCAAGGATATTTTAAGTATTATTATGGGAGAAACAACATTTAATTGTTGGTAACTCAGATACATTTATCACTAAATTTCATTCAGTTTTGCTGTAAATCACGTCATTCGAACCCCCTCATGATGCGCTGTTGCGATTATACTGCACACAAACTTATTCTATATAGGTTACGTGTCGGTGAATAAAAACAAGAACGGAACCCTTTTCAGCCACCGCTTTTTTCGTTCAGAGTTAATATGAGTAAACTTGGGAGGATATATTTTGCCCCCTGTAAAATGGATATCCCCTCGTGGATGAAATATGTGACATTTTGCCCCTGTCGAAAATAAATATATAAATAATAAAATAAAAATGTTTGCGTTAGTACTTAATAATATAATAAAATATTTTTTGTACAGTCAAAGCTCAAAATACAGATTGCAATACTTGTTGCACCCTCATCATTTATGAAATTACTTTTCTTCTTTTATAGAAACTGAATAATTTGGAAGTTATTGCCTTAATGTTTTTTTTTGAGAATTGAAGGTCTTATAAAACGTTATTTTGAGATTTTTGTAATAACTCTATATTCAGCCGAAATGGGAATTAGATTAAAACATCTTGTGATATTAAACTTTCAGAGTCATTATACAAGGCTTGATTTATAGTATAATTTAAAACTAATTCTATATACTTTGTATATAATATTATCTATTGTAAGTTTGTAACGTATCTTCTTTTGCCGCTGCGAAATTTCTTTTCATTTAACGAGGCCAATAAAGACAAATATTGAATGACTAAACTTATTAAACTATATTTATTATTTATTTATTATCTAATATTCAACTTAAGACAATTTGCATAACTATTTACTGGACTGGATCTTACTTGTCATCTCACGAAGACTGCCCCATTCGACAATCGACCAGCGTAGTATCTTTCTCTCTGACTGTCAACTACCCGATTACCATTGAACTACCTCCTTAATTACTATATATGTTATTAAAATATAAAATTCATTGTTTACACCACAGCTATTAACCACAACACACACGCACGTATCCCACCACATATAAGACATGATTACGTCATAATAGATGGAGGAATAGATACAACGATGATGAATATCATCAATATGCGGGTGAGATATGTCATTGGTGATTTTGGCTAGTCCTTGTTTATCCTCAAACCGTTGCAGAAATAATAATATTCATAAATTTATTCAAATTTAAAAAATTTCGTGTCTGATAGACCAGGAGGGCCATGCAAAATTCTTAACTACTTTATTAAAAAGAAATGTAATGTTGTCAAAAATAACAATTGCATCCATAATGTCTAGAAGTTTTAAGTTTGAGTTATTTCAAGTAACCATAGCTTTACGCAATCCATCACTTTTTGTCTGATTCCTACATGTATATGAACAGCATTCATTAAAGATGTGGTGGCTTACATTGTATGTCTTCTACACAAAAGAATATTGTATATATTACTACTAATAATTTATTAATACTAATTTTGCCTGCAACCTCAAGACTTCGTTCTCTAATGCATCCGGAAGCGATTACATGTCGTGATATATTTGGGCTGTCATATATAGTATGCGGTCTACCGGTGGTTCATTCTTTAAAATTAATAATATCATACCATAAAAAAATAATAATAATAAGCTGTTTGACATCCCTATATCGTTTGCAACATAATACTCTAATTTCTTTACCCCTTTCGTAACGTATGTACAAAATATATTCATCCCACTTCCACTATATATTTTGTCCTCTGTTATGTATCATAGTTATAGGTAAACATACTTGTTTGCAAATCAGGTCCGAGGAACGGAGAACCGACGTTCTCGGCGGTCATGGAACAGTTCCAGCGACGATTCAGGAACTGCGACCGGCATTCGGCAAGTCCCGCTTGGACGCCGTACCTGATGGAGGCCAAATGTTCCTCGTAAAGCAGGCACAGCTTGGCTTGGCCGGCTGAAAGGCCGGACACGTTGTTGCACTTTGGCGGCGGGTCCGTGGGCAACGCCGGAGGCGAAGGTGACGACGAAGGCGACAAGAGCAATGGGTCTCCCATCATGCCCATCGAGCCGCCGCCGCCCATCGTCCCCGCTTCGCCTACGGAGACATCGACGCCCCTAACCCCTACACCGCCTACAGACGGTTCCGGCGGCGTCCACGGCACCTGTTGTGCGTACGACGACGATTCTTTGAAATGCCTACAACACACGTAACATAAACAAGCGTTAGATTATTATTGAATATTATATTTTTGAATTATATTAAACACATTATTATTTAATAGATACATAATATGCCCTATCATCATAGCAATATATATTATTTAAGTCGTATTTGGAGTGCTTAAAATGGTTAGGCGATTTCACATTCGATATTAGGTACATATTTTAAGTAGGTAATTAATAATTATATTCAGACAGAACATTGACCCGAGGACCACGAGCCGCAGTGGTGTAAGGAGCAGCAACTGAGCATCAGAGACCCCGGAAAATGATGAAAAATTCGCCCTTACATAATATATTATTAACATTGAAAAAATACAAACCAAAGTTTTTATACAAATCTTTATTTTAATCGTAGGTTTTATTTTATTTGTGTGCAATATATTTTATGACGCATGATTTTTAGCACAAGATTTTTTGGCTACGTTGAATACAGTTTCAGAACGCCAACTTTTGAAATGAAATTGTTCACCCCTATATAATATATTAATCTCCATACACACAATGTGCGTCCCCGCGGCCTGCAGGCGTATAAGCGCAGTTTTCTTTTCCATACCGGGAGGCGTGGTTTCTAAGTCAATCTGATTAGTAAAATATATAGGTTGTTTAACTCATCGTATTTTATCATATACAAGCAGACGAATAGGAATGAAACGGTCCGAGGAAAGGCAATTAGTTAAATGTCTATACGCGGTCCCCCGATCCTCGTAACGCGCCCCACCCTACGGCGTTATCATGCTGATTGCCTATTCTATAATATTATAATATACTCTATATGAGTGAATATAATATATTGTATTACATCCGCGCATGACTGCAGCAGACGTCGGGCCGCTTCGTGGAGCTTTTTATGTTCTTCGCGTGCGGTCGGAGTGCAGGATGGACCGGTGGGGGGAGAGGGTGGAAAATGCCGTATATAATATATATATTATATGCAATATTATATTATATATTTCGGTGTGTATATATACTTGGAGTACTCGCGTCTGGTTCTCGTATATGTGAGGACCCGAGGGCAATTATATATAAAATATCGTAAACGTACATATTATTATTATTATTATGTATACATGCAACGAAAGCCCGTTTCCGGGTGGGCGGTGCGGGGGGTCGATGGGTTGGTGGGCGGGGGTGGGTGCGAGAGAGGGGCGAGACGGCGGGAAGTATAACGACTTAATATACCATCGGCGGTGCGGTGTAGTATTAGCAGAAGCGTTGGTGCTGGAGGTGGTGGTGGTAGTGGATGGTGGTAGCAGTAGTACTGCAGTACTGGAGTACGGGACTGTGCAACAGCAGCAGTAAGGCGAGGGGAGTTAATATTTCATTTGCATCCGTTCGACCGTGTATAACTAACTATATTTCACCGAGCGCGCGCGAGCGGTAATCATAAAACGCCGACGGGCTCCCGAGACCTTATGTATATATATATATATATATATATTATATTACCGTCAGTATATGCATAGTGTGTACCGAGCGGCGGCGGCGGCGGCGTCGACGGGACAAGACGAGACGGGACGGGCTCCCGGGACCGCGAGGCCGTATATATACACGCGATGTATAGCGGAGCGAAAGACAAGAAGCGTATACGGGGCGGCGGCGGTTCTTCGTGCGCACCGAAAACAAACAACGTGTTGTATGATAATAATATACAGCTGTAACCCCTTGAGCGGACCTGCACTGTACGGTTGTTCGGCGTCGGCGGGGTGGAAAGCCGCCCGGAGCCTCTAACCGGACAACGTAATTACGATTAAAACGTTTGAGCTTTCGATGGCGGCGGGGCTTTTTTGTACCATTTCCCCACATATGATTATTATTAATCATCAATATTATATTATATAATATGAAATGATTATTATTATTAATCAGCAATAACCATGATATTATACTATATAGGTACCCTACGTACCTACAGTATATATTACAACACGATGTCACAAAGTCACTGAACCATGGTTCGTGCAGCATATTGCCATATAATAATATAAGGTTAAACACCGCCAAACTTTTGTTGCTCGATAACGTCCATCGCGCAAAGTATAATCGTAGGTACATACGGAGTATGGAGTTTCTGAATTCGTATTCGGTTGGCCGACAAAGTATTTTCAATAAATATCATTAGGTATGGTAAAAAAAAAGATATGTTTGTTTTTTAGATCCTCAGTGTTCTGTGGTTAGTTTGCCCAACGAGTGAGCGAGAGAGACATATGCGTGTACCGAGCGTACGATTTATGGCTTCAAGAAATTGAAAAAATAAATAAATGTTAAAATCTGTTTCCAACTAGAAATTCTGTACAAAATAGCCGTGTAATGTTCAGTTGACATGTAGCATACCGGTATATACGCCGACGTTCGGACGTTTCCGGTCAGACCGCAAAACAAAAAATAAAAAAGGCTTCCGTTTTGTTGTATAATTCCCTTCTTTTTTTTTATGTACTTTCGCTTGACGGATTGCGCTATAAATCGTTCGACAAACATTTTGTTCAAACAAAAGCGGTTTTGTTTGCGGTAAGTACGCTCAAAGGATCAAAATGAATAATATACGGCGGGGCAGAGACGTTTCCGAGAAAAACGTTACATTTATTATTATTATTTTTTTTTTTTTTTTGTAAAAAGAAAATTATAAAAAGAAAATAGACCCCCTCTTAATATATATATATATATATACCATAAATATTCTTAGACGATATAATTCACTAGGTATGAAAAACGTGATGCATATAATTTATATATTATATACAATAATATACATAGGTACTAAAACTTAATAAGTTATAACTTTTAATATATATTTCATGAATAAAATATGAAAAGTTTTTACTGTAAAATATCACGTAGTTTTTACTTATTTTTAACACAAGCTTTTTCCTGGGGCAATAATATTTTATACTACTATTGGCACTATATACGTACACATATCATATTAAATTTACATCAAATAAAAACTGCGCTTCGAATTAATATGAATAATGAATATCCTGAAAAGTTTTATAACCAAGTCGTATAAATATAAGTACCTAGGTATATGTATAAATAGCACATCGAAGTATCGGATTACCGGGTTTCTCTGAAAATCAACAAGTCAACCAATAGATTCTATAACATTTGAAGCTGCACAAAATCAGTAGACACATTTTAAAAAGTACTTTATAAAGGGAAATAACCTACATCGTTGGAACCGTCGGGAACAGAGTAAAAAAGAAAATTACGGAGAGTTGGTTAAATCAATAATAATTTTTTAATATTAATTTATTATAATTTCTTGTTACAATGCAATGTGTACTAATAATTTATTATATATAGGTACATACAATAGATACATATTGATGTACATATAAGTTCGTGTGTTGTGAGTAACATTATGACCTTCAATTATAACAACTTTATTAGAATTCGTATTATATATTATTATACTTCGATAACCAAAACATTAACCGAACGTGTAATATTCAATATAAAAGAAGAACAAGTTACACAGTTATAACATAAATTTTCTAATAACACGATTGTCCACTTATAAAATATTACCAATACATTACAATTGATCGTTATTTATGTCTTGTATATATACTTATTAAACTGCCCTTAAGGCCTTTTAATAACCATCAATACGATATATTATTGCATTTCAGCCTTCAGTATATATTTTCACTGTCCAGTATCTTATACAATTATGTTTGGTATAAATTAAATATAACAATTACTCTTCACCACATCATATTAGGTACCTATATACCTCGTATATAATATACAGTTCACGTCCGGAGAGATACGTCCATGCCTAACAGTTTTGATTCATAATTTATAACTTTTCATTATGAAAATTCAATAGCACCGAACATCGGACATATAAATATATTGTGATTACGTATTGACAGACACTATATTATGTCTGTATGACTGTCATATCGAAATATTAATTAATGTTTATGATGGGTATATTATAAGTTATAATTTATAGCCACAAAAATTTTAGCAAGTTCGAATAACATATGGTAGTGGTAAAATTAGTGAATCCCCGTATACTGACAGTGCTTACTGCAATAACGCATAACCGCATAGGTACACCTATTGTCCTATTTTGCTTTACCGTTTTTACCTCGTCTAGTCGTCTCTGAATATTAAAAGATCTCAAGGACATCTATAATTTCCTAAAACTAAATTGTTATACCCATACATTGCGTCGTTGTATACGCGTATCATAACGCACCTCTGTGACAAAATAATCATACAACCGTTGTAATACCATAGGCCCTGAACAGTCCTGCATGTGTAATACCAGAATGAAGAATGAAGACTGTGATAAATAAATGACTTTCGTTCGAAATCATCCGGACAAAAACTATGCAATCGCATAGTTTGCAAAGTGACGCTCGGCAGATACGTCAAAAGTTACAAATGATTTTGGGTCGGCGGCGGAATCGCATGCAGGCGCACAATGCATACGATGTACAATATTATATGGTACAATGTGTAGGGATATAATATTATGTGTGTATACGCAGCAGAATGTCACACTATGTGAACGCGTCTTTTTTCAAGTACACTGCGCTAGTGGAGTGTAACAAAGCACGCCACTACGAGGGTGTAATAATAGTCTTTGCAATTTGAAAAATCCGGAACATTACTTGACACCCCCGTAGACAGCACACTCGTTTTAAACGAACCTACACGGTCGGTATTACACGAGCACATACTGCAGGGGTGAAAGTTCGGTTCCGTCCAACGACTACAACAGCAATTGTACTTACAACTTAAGCTGTTGCCTGTGTTAAGATAAGGTATTACGTCGGGCGAAGGTCATATTATTCTTCACATTGTTCGCGTACAACGCGTATATTATATCACTCGGTAAAATACGTACATCAAAATACAATATATTATTTTTAAATTACTAATTTACCTTTATGAATAGTATAATCGTCATTGATAGATTATTATAATTTATAGATATAGGTTGGTACTATACTATAGCC